TGACCTCACAAACTAGTCCGATTTTATATCCTTTTTTCAGAAAGATGACAAAATGGACAAAATTTCAACAATTTTAGCTTTGAAATTTATAGAGTGTAAGTTTGTTCAGGAATAATATTAACATATTTCATTGATTTTATCTTGTAACACATTATATCAAAATATTGATCCTAAACAACACATGCACTCGGTGACTTTTACTCAGAATATCGACGAAATATGTACATTTTTTCTGTAAAATTCATAAAAAAACTGAAATTTACGTCATGTTTGTAACGTCATTACGTACATATGACGTTTTTAACAATATTCAGTGCTTTGAAGTCATATATACTCCCCTGTTTAAGAAATTAATTAAATATACATGTATCTCCATCAAAGTTTGATTTAGGGGGCAGATATTGGTTATTACCGAATAAAGTTCTTTGCCTTAAATATACGACAAATCATGAATATGCTTACGTTATTAATCTATACACAAGAACTTTTTGTGTTTTTATCATTAAGAATGAAATGATACAAATATTTTATACATGTCGATGATCAGATTGAAAATAAAATATAATTTGCAAAAATTATGAAAAATAAAAATAAGAAGGTACATCGAAAGTATTTTTAAAATATCAGTCGATGATTTCGAAGTGTTTTTTTTTTTTTTTTTTTTTTTTTTTGTATAAAACGTGATAGGTGAAGCAGAGATATATTATCTATAATTTCAAATTTTGAAATGTGGTAAAAAAAAAAACAAGAAATATCAAAGACAAACAACAAGCAAGTATGTATAGTATAAGAGGAGGATTTGCAATTCATACTGTTATAAACATCCATTAGTCCCTTGTCGGTGAAACCGGAGAGGACTAGAGGTTTCCTCTGAGTCCGTCCGTCCACTATCCGTATCTCCCACTTGGTTTTCCGCACTTTTTTCATTAATGCTTGCAGATATTGAGCTGTTTTTGGTCTGTTAATATATCGTAATGAGTTTACAGATCAAGTTTGAATCCCAAAAGTTGAAGTCACCAACATTATATATATAATATTTTTATATTCTTTTAAAATGTTTGGAAAAGGTTTTCACTAAATTACATAGACGTTATAAAATAAATGTTCTAGTGAAGTCATAAATGCTTAACAAAATTCATTAGCTCCCCCAAAAAATCCACAAAATATATTTTTGCTGCATTCTTCTGTTTAGCTTATTTTGGTTTATTGAGAGTAATCGAGGCTCTGTGCATTCACCTCCCTGAAGTACATTTTCTTTCAAAAGATCATCTCACTATTAAAATTCAGAAGTCCAAAACTGATCAGGTAGGTCTCCCAACTTTAGTCAAATTAACCAATCAATCAATCTGACTATAAGATCCGCCCTGTAACCAATCAATCTGACTATAAGATCCGCCCTGTTTATCAGGTTAGAGAATATATCAAATCTAGGTCAAGCAACTGCAACTTGCTGCTTGTTCATGATAACAACAAACCCATCACACGTTTTCAATGTCAATCAGTTTTGCAAAAAGCACTCAATTTCTTGCAAGTCCAGTGTCATTAAAGGTCACATAGCTTTTGCATAGGTATGGCCACCGAATTGGCGAAACAAGGGGTATCAATCAACCAGATCAAAGCACAAGGAAGATGAAATTCAAATGTTTATCAAACCGACATTTGTGCGGATTTACAAGGTTTCAGTTAGGAACAACTTTAAAATCATTATTTAACAATTGTAGAGTTATATATTTCAAAATATTACAATTTTTGATATGCTTTAACACTTTAAACTTCTAGTCACTATTAATTTCAACAAAGCTTTCCTCCAAGTGTGTCCATCTGGATACTTGGATCCTCAATACCATACATGGCAGGAGAAGCAGCAGAACATAGGCCTTGGGGAACTAATTTGAACTTGCCAGCTTCAATAACTTGCAATGGTGTAAGGGGACTGCAATAGCATCAGGTTGAACAAACCATAGCAACTATTTTTAAATTTTCTCCCCCCCCCCCATTTGGTTAATTTTTCATGTCGGATCAAATGATCTGACTTCTGTTGACATCACCTCGAAATCTTTCTCATATTTGGCACAATGAACATTATACAAATACAATGCACTGTGGCCTAACACTAAACTAGTCTGGTCATGTTTACTACCAAGGCGTTATTGGCATTATGCAACTCTTGGGGACGGGTCAAAAATCAATAAATAGAAAAGGCTCAGAATGAACAAGCTAATGAAAAAAAACATGATGAAGGAAGTACAGGGATAAGTTATTGAACATGATCATAATATCAAAGCAACATAAACTTACCTCTACCATACTGATGGCACACACTTATCTAATGTAGGTAACAAAATATTCTTGAATAATCTCCAAGCAGCAATGCAGTTTTTCTTGTAGAACAACCAAAGAATTTTTCCTGCCACAAGCCAGTGAAACAGAGACTTTTCGTTCCCTATGTGCAAACAGTAGTAAACACATGGATGGTTAGAGCATAGACATTTATATCAATAGTTTAATAATTTACGCTCTATGTTAAACACAGAACATTGTTATAATTTTGTGTGGGACATTGTTAATGTCTGTGGAGGGACTGGGGAGTGCGTTGCGGCCGCTAATCAGTAACCTGTTGTGTCTTAAAGCAGGGGGCATGTGTTATGTTTATTATCAAGTTGGTTAAAAATGTTAGTCACAAAAAGCAGTACTTAAAGGTTAATTGTAGTAGAGAAGCTCACAGCCAGTCCATTGCTGGTGCCTCATCCACCTCTCTACCTAGGAAAGGGATGCTTCAGGCTGGGGCATGTTCTTTGGGGGTGCAACCGTAGGGCAGTCTACTGGGTCCTCCCCTCCATGCATTACACCAGGTAGCTCTCTTTAGACGGGCAAAAAGGGCAGGCACTTCCCCCTCAGAAATCAGTGACTCGTTTAGGCTCTGAGCACCTATGTTCACATGGTGAAGGCTTCATATCTAAGTTCAGAGTAGTCAGCTAGTAAGATCAAGTTAAAAAAGTAGCCAAGTCTATAATTGATGATAAGTAATTGTCGTTTACGAACCTTATATATCCTTTGATAATATATTTTTATAAAATATGTAATATTCTACCACGATTATTGCAGACATCAAAGAAATGCCGCGGATATAATGCTCAAATAAATCACGAACGTCACCAAAATATTATCAGATCAGAAACACGTATCAAACTTGCACAGTTGAAATAAATATTTGACTCTAAAATGATAGAATTTTTTAGACCACATTGATGTGTCGACTTTTGCAGTCTGAACACTGTAAATTGCATCAAATTGCTGATGAATGTCGGTTTTTATAGCCAAGCGAGGCTATTCTATGGACCTCCCTACACATTTAAGCAACAATAAAGCAGTTAAACAGGAACATGATCTTGTTATTGTATATTCATTAAAATTAACCATTACATATAATGAAAAAAATTTTGAAATTTAAAAAGGGCTTTTTTTAAATACAACGAAAGCTCAAATTTTCTGCATTCCATACACAGATACACAACCAAGCAAACAAATTTTCCCTCTGGTGTTAAATGAAACAGCGTAATCGAGACATGGTGACCTTTTTTGTTCTCTCTGGAGGAAACGATCAGGTGTTTTAGCGACCTTCTTAATCGAGGCCAATTTTCAAATGGGAATGGGGCCACATTTTGACCCAAAATCAGCCATAAAAATCACTGGCCAACATACAAGTAGTAAAAGGTGTACATAAAAAAAAATATTTAAACATTAGATAGCCTTAGTAAACTGCACATTTAAATTTATTTGACAAATACAAGTGCCGCTGTGCAATTAGAAGTGTTAAAAATTGATTCTTATATAAATCAAAAAATACTAATACTAAAGATTTTCCTTCATTTTTTTTTCAAAAAATATTGCCGCTGTGGTTTATATTGACTCTATAAAAAGGGGGAAATCCTACTCAGAAAAGAAAGAGGGGTGGATTTGGATCTAGTGTTAGATATCCCTTCGGGGGTTACGATTTCAGGGGGAACCTGCTAAGGTGGAAATCCTACTCTACAACACCAATTTAGAGGCATGGAGTCAGTAATGAGTTGTCAACGAAGTGGCAGATAAGTCCTGTAGTTGTCAAGCTTGAAATTCAGGTTAAAAAATTCAATGCACTAGAGAGCAAAATGAAGTAAAAAAAAATAATAACTTAAAAAACAAGATTTGAGAAGAAAGTATGGTTTTTCATGGGGAAAGAATTTGTACGTTTATACTTCACTATCATGCAAAATTGTGTAATGCAGATTATGTTTGTTGTAAAAGTTTCACATGTTATTAAAATGGTCAATTACATATCTGATTGTAGAGCGTTGTATTTTTACTTCCGATTAAGTATTAGATTCGAAATTTAAGGTAGTACGAGTGTGAAATCAAAGTAATGGAAAACAAATGATTTTGGCACTTATGGATACACATATGTATAAGCAATGCATGATTATAATATAAAGAAAAAGAGTGTAGCCGTTTGCCCCCTAGCGATTGCCAAACTAAGGGAGGTAAGTCCGTGTGATACTTTCCTTAAAAATACAGTCTGCACATCAACTTAAAAAAAATAGGTCAAAGATTATGTAAAATTTTCAAATGTTCATTTTTATTAAACAAGGAACATCTGTTCTAAAAATTAAAAACAAAATTTTTTTTAAACAAATTTGAAATTGTGCTTGCGGCGCCACCTATTACGTCTAATTTTTCTGACCAAAATATTAAAGTTGTGGATCATAATCAAATTATAAAACATAGACAGAGTAATGGAATCAGAAGAAACAATTTATTTTTATAGAATATAACAATAATCAATCAATTTGTCCAAATTTCAGAAAAAAGAGTGGAGCCGTTTTGAAAATATTTAACCCGAATTTCCTCTGATCAGCTTCTCTGCAAAATTCTTGTGTTTACGACTGCTCTAAATTTGTCTTCATTTATAATTCAATAAAACCAATTAAAATTAAAAATGGAGATGGTACAATATTTTATGAACTATATTTTATCTAAACAATATTCATTTGTAAAATAAAAAAATGTTGTTTCATTAAATGTCCTCCATAGCCATCTATACTGTCCTATGATTCGAAACAATAAAATATGAGAAATATATGAATTGTTATCACATATTTTACAATATGCAGAGTAATGGAAATAAAAAATGCAAAGTCTTTACATGAACTATAATGTTCAGCAATTAATTATTTTGTCCAAGTTTAAGAAAAAAGAGTGGAGCCATTTTGAAAATAATTAGCCAGAAATTCCTCTGATCAACTTTTCTCTGCAAAATTTTCATGCTTACGACTTCTCTAAAATCAGTTACATTTCAATAAAAACAATCTAAATGAAAAATGAACATGGCACAATTTTATGATCTATAAATTACCTGAACAACTTTTATTTGTAAAATAAAAAACAAAATATATTAAAAGTTGATGTTTCACAGTGTACGACCTTACAATGCTAGCTATTATTGTCCATTGACTAACAATGAGATATGAGAAATATGAATCCTTGTCACATAATTTACTTAGTACATGCAGACTAATGGAAACAAAAAATGCATAGGTTTTACATGAAATATGACAACAATCAATCAATGAGTCCAAGTTTCAGAAAAAAAGAGTGGAGCTATTTAGAAAATATTCAGCCCAAATTTCCTCTGAACATCCTTTCTCTGCAAAATTTTCATGTTTACTAATAAAATTATTCCAATAACATTTCCAAATTATACAATATGTATTGAAATGAATATTGTACAAATTTTATGAAATAAATGTTATACCTGAACTTTCATTACAAGCATATAAAACAATTATTATAATTATGTTGTATTATGAGCTCAGACTGTTGTTTCATGAGCTCAGACAAAACTTGACTAGTTTAAATAATGGAAGAGTATCTAGAAAACTATGAACCTGTGTGACATTTTTCCCCATATTTTCACAAGTATATCAATGCATGAAAAAGTACAGGAACATCATAATTTCTTATATTTCGACCAAGTTCCACCACACTGTCATTGGTAGACAAAAAATCCAAAGAGCTTGTATAGAATCTGTCCTTATGTTTACTGCTTTCACCTCACTCTTTGTCATTGTGGTACATTTTCATTCCCCAGGTTCTAATTCCAGTACTGTTATCTCTCTTACTTTTGGATGAATTGGAGTCTTTGGTAGTACATGAACATGTAAATATGTACTGGTTGAAGTGGTTTTCTCCATTGATGGCCAAAATTTGTAGTATATGTGTAGCATATGCTCTGGCTAAAATAAAATAAATTACATTAATTAATTATTCATTTATTTAGGTACACTTAACTAGAAGAGATATATGGTATAATAAACGTTATACTCCCCTACCAAATACTGGTACAGCATACACATATACAATACAAAAGAATACATATAAGAGATGCATCACTCTCATTTAAAAATTATACACTATTGACTTGACTTTTTCAAAAGTAGGTCAAATTTTAAAATCAGTTCAATTAGTATGCCCCGTGTTAAAGTTTTTCCAAGAGTTAGTCAAATTCCATGATGAAGGTAAAAAAAAATTACCAATAAAAAACCTCCTTGCTGGTAATCTGTCTTTATCATGAGAACTCCTCTACAGCACATCCAGAAGCCTGCAAAATTCCTTCCCGAACTTCATTTGTAGATGTATTCTGCTGTCTGTGAAACAACAAGGATACATGTATTTGAAGATTAACAAGTCCTTGAACAAGATATGTTTGTAAAACACTTATTGCCCCCTCCCCCAGATAATTGGAATTTTTCTAAGTTGAATGGACATGACGCTGCAAAAAATTCCCTGATCTTACCCACCTAAAACAAACCTTGACCTAGATATTCTTATGATAAATCTGTATACCAAATTTCATTTCAATACATGCAACCTCTGCAAAGAAAATAAACAGAAACTGGTTGGACTGACAGACTGACTGACCAACCAACAGACAGCTGCAAAGCAGTATGCCCTCCCCTTACACTGATATCATACTTTACTGGGAAAAAAAAACATACCTGTATGTACAATTTATCAGTAATTAATTAAGTATATTAAATTAAATAACACAGTGAATATATTGAAATTATACTGATATAACCTCGAATGTGATTTGAAATTCACTAGGAATTGATTTTTATCGTAATTTATTGACTTTCCATGTTACTTATAAATAAAAGTAAATGACAAGAAATTGTGCTATGTATCAAATGATCTAATATTAAATAAAATAAAACCCCTTAATACCCCCCCCCCAAAAAAAATGTGTGTTTAATTTATGCATACCAACATATTTCCCCCCAGCCACCACAACCACAACCCTATCATTATTTTTTTTATATATAGAGATGTATCCCTTATGGCCTTATCTGAATTATCACAATGTCTAAATATAGATTCAGCACTGACGCGTTTTTGTTTGAAGATTTCTACACAATTTGAGTTAGTATTATGAATCATATTTATTCAATTTTAGAGACATATTTTCCAACAGAAAATCTCTCCTATCCATACCTGAACCTAAATTTCTTCAAACTTTTGCTTCAACTTACATTACAAATTAGTTTCTTTGCAATCTCCGAGCAGTTTGTTTACATATAAAATGCCGGGTTATGTACTTTCTATTTCACAACGGGGAATAACTCTAAGAATATCTCGAAGAAAAAATATTATGAACATTACTGATTCGCTCAGCACATCTTGATACAGTTGATTTCTCGTTGATATTAGGCCTTATTCTGTGCAGCCTAATTCCAAAAACTTTTATTTAACACATCGTCTAGCCTCTGGGATATATGAAACCGACACATCTTGATAGACTATCGAAATATGGGCACTCAGTCACAGATCCCCCGTAACCGTGCTTCGCGTGTTACATAATACATATGTATCCGATACCTTTTTCTTACCGGTTTTTGAATAGACACTAATCAACTTCTGCTTCTGACTGGTTTCTGTAGTTAAAAAATCCGTTTGCGAGTGGCAAAGCCGCCCTCGGCACGTCCCATATTCCATTGTTCGTCATTTTGGGAAATCCAGCGCTGTCGTTACTATGGAGATCGGAAACGGGTCTGTTGTCGTAAAAATACGAGACGTACTCGATGACAATGCATATATTTTAATACTCATTTTTAATCAAAAAAAAAATTAAAAGTAAATTTGAATGTACAATATTATTAATTATTTAATAATATAAACACTTTAACTGACATTATTTTGAATGCAACTTTTACAACTTTCGTTCCAATATTTGTTATGTAAAATGCTCACACTCATACAACCTTAAAAGCTATTTGTTAAAGCCATACACTAAATAGCTAAAAACATTCCTGACAAGCTTACCATTATCATTTCGTTTTTTCATTTTTTGTTCTCTTTCATTCTAAAACACATACCAACTCAAGAAAATTAAATTGATTAAATATCTAAACTCATTTATGTGTTATATAAATAAATAGGGTTTTTTTTAACATACTTCTGACAAATTTCTGTCGAGCTATATAGAGAAACATGTTCATTGATTTTTTTACTTCCCTTTTAGAGAAGCCTTTCAATTATATTCATATAGAGACGTAGAAAGACCTGTGATCTATAATTTAATGCCGTATGATATATTCTATTTCTATTTCATGCTGTGTAATACAGATCTAAAACATGTTCACAATTCCAATTACTTCGGAAGTCATAATTTTTTTTTAAATATTTTTTTTACATTAATAGATATTTATAACTGATGTAGTAAGGGACAAAGGTACTTAGTTCCATTTTGTGACTCTGAAAAGCATCAAATGTATCAATTTGTAAATATAAGTCATCAATATATTTCAAAATATGATTTTACTCACAAAATATGCAAGAATTATACGAGGGCATTCAAAAGTACCTAGACAATTTCCTAATCATCCTATTATTATTATAAGATTACAGGTCAACATATTTTCGTAAATAAAACATTTTCTTTGTAGAAGTATGAAGTTTATACCATTTTATTAAGTAGAACACAAGTCAGCCAATTTTTAAAGCAAAATGCTTTGTTACCACGGAGTACGATTTACCAATATTGTAACGTCAAATACATCGTCGAGAAAGTTTCTCAAAATTATTCTGCTCTTTAATTTCATACACATCAAAACATATCAATAATATTCGACATCTAGTTTGTAACAATTGTGCAAATAGTTTGAATTAGATCGTCTGCTTTTTCAAATTCTTTACCGCTTAACTCTATAAGTTCCGCAATAGTGACTCTTTTGACAAGATTTTTAACTATGACCTATTTTTTGCACACTCTCTATCGTCCGATTCATACTTGCTACTACTCAAAAAATGTACTTTCCATTTTATACAAGTACAAGGCTTATTTTTCTTACATTTTTAGTACATGTATATACAGAATTTTGAAGACTGTTTAAAAAAGTTTTATTTACACTCGCTGCTCCGTGGCGACCTCCAATGTCTTGATCTTTCCACTTTTTAAATCAAGTCCATATGTATTTAGAAAATAATATCTTTTGAACGGAGTGATATATTACACTATTATAGGTCACGGTAACCTAGTGGTAGAGCGTTCGCTTCGTGATCGGGAGGCCCAGGTTCGATTCTCGTTCGCGGTGCCGCGTAAACAAAGGTAGTGACTGTTCGTTCGCCAAGCGCTCGGCACTAGAAGTGAAAGTCACGGGTCTTTCGGATATGACCGTAAAAACGTTGGTCCCGTGTCACGGTAGGCGCTGGCACGGTAAAGAACCCTCACTGCTCAATGGCCCTGAATGCCGAGTATAGGTCTAAATTTGAAGCCCTTCACTGGCATACGGTGACGTCTCCATATGAGTGAAAAATTCTCAAGAGGGACATTAAACAACATACAATCAATCAATCAATCACTACCTGATAGCATTTAAAGTAATACAGCAAAAAACTTAATTTTCACATATATTTCTTTTCATTTACCGGAGAGCATTTTGAAGCCGAACACGATTCGTAAAAGTAAGGTGTCCGCCATTTTAGTTCCCGAGTCTCGCTACCCTGCAGACCCCTGTAAATAGGGCAAGAATTAGAGACTGTTCAGTTTAATCAGTCGACACCGGTGTAGACGGACGTATGCTATACAGGACTTGGTATCGAGAATAACAACGTAATACTTCGTCTAATCCAGGAAAGTAAGATACCAAATAAATTTACAATTATAGTTGTGTAATTAAGTCAGTGCTGTATACAAACAACATAGATATTTACGTAACTGCAATAAAATATAAACAAAGGTAATGCAAGATAACCAGCTCGAACACGGGTCGCTTTTCAACGCCGATACCTGTGACAATAAAGCAGTCAGGTGTAACGAATGCGACGAGTATACCCTAGTATTAGAGATTGTTCTATCTGACGTATCCGTATCGAGGTATGAGAAGCATCTCGATCCCGATGTCTTACTCATTATATATGCTTTTTCTCATACCCCTTTTAAATAAAGCTTATTAACTGGCAGTACAGCAGGGGGGGGGGGGGGGTATGATAATTATTTCAGTATAAATGTGCATTAAAATGGTGTATGTCGTTATTATTTTATAGGGCTGGGTATTGGCCCGAGATTTCGTATTGCGATATATTGCGATATTTTAAACTGTATTGCAATATTTATTGCAATATTTTCAATGTAATTTAAATGGCATTTTCTTACTATATTTACATTGATTTACATGCAGAATGTACATAACTATGATAAGTAACCAACACGGAAAAAAACCTTGTTGATTTCATTAAAGTTATGCTCTGAAATGTTCCCACAAAACAACTTCTGTTTTACTGTTTGACTTAATAACAAACTTTCATAAGTCCATTTTTAAATTTAATGACAAAATTCCTTAATCTAAGTATATTGCCAATATATCGATATTACAAAATCGTATTGTATTGCGATACGATATTTTTTATCATTGTATTGCAATATATTGAAATATTGATATTATTGCCCAGCCTTATTATTTTATTAATGAGTAATCATAAAATGAGCATGTAAGTAATTAACTGTTTTATTCAAAATTAACATTATATCTTCAAAACCATTACATTAGTCGCCCACGTGGCGCATTGCTTATAACGTCTGCTATAGAGTCGCGAATTAAGTAAGAAATTGATCCTTACGTCGCGGGTTCGAATCCCATTGTAGGACTTGGAGACCGGTCCTTAGAATGAGAGCATTTACCTGTGTCGCAGTAGGTGTTGGCAGGAAAAAGATCCCTCACTGCTCAATGTCCATTAGTGTCGAAAAAGGTCAAATTTTGCAACTCTCGATCCACATGCAAATTGTCTCCATATGAGTAAAAATATGCGACAGAGACAATAAAAACAACCAAATACTGCACTATGGGGAGGACATAGTTTATAAGAAGAACAACTTTGTTCGTCTTGCTGCTAAACATGCGCAAAGACAGACAATGTCACTGATATGTAATCGGAAATGGCGAAATAAAGTTGAAATGACTCTGCACATTTTAATCAACTTGATTATGTGTTCTACATAGACCCGGTATTTGCGAATTTTCAAATTAACGTTCTGATACTCTCTTTTAACATTTTGTGGTTGACGACGTAACTGAGCTTCAGTGAATAGGGTGACGATTTGGTGTCTGGAAGGATATATACAGTCTCCCAAAAGATAGCAACCTCTTGGAAAATCAAGTGTTTTACCAACCCCTATGGATGTCATCTTTCGAAATGTTTGGCGTCGTTATTATGGCCCAGAAATCCAATTCTACATGACAGATGTTTAAGCTATTGTCAATGACAACCTTTGTGTGGACACAGTGAAATTTACGATACCCACTATAATAAAGCCTTTAGGGTTCATTTGATGGCATATATATGCGATGTGATGTGCCATCAATCACCCTAACTGCTTGAGGCAACTGTCTCCACACACCCCTTCGGCGATGCCATTCTCTATTCGATGGCCAAGATATGTTTTCTCTTAAAACAGCATGCAAAATTTGCCACACTAAATTTACAATACGACGAGCTGATGATACAGAAATTGAAAAAAATATATGACAGACTCGCACATGTAGGGTAGGTTTTCAACCATATTAGTGTCAACAAAATCTTATTTCTGTTGTTAAAACCATATCTTTGTCGGTAAGGACCCAACATAAGACTGCAAAGACCACACAGTTCCGTAAATGATTCAGGGGTCTCGCCAGTCTCCTGTTCTGAGATAAATCTGAAAAAAAACATCCCTTCCCCTCCTACATCTTACTGGGTATGCATCATCAAAAAAAACAAAAGGTTCCTGCTGGAAAATGTACTCAAACTGGGCATGTCAAGTACTGAAAAAATTATCATCAAAACATCACGAATTTCTGTTTCGTATTCATTCACTTCGAACGCCTCTAACATCAGAAGTAAATGTGATATCATGTTTGTACGGTGAAAGGATGAATCAAAAACAGAAAGCAACAAATATGCAAGATAGTCTCCTTCCATTTCGCTAAGAAATACCAGTAATATTCCCTGTATACCAGTGTTTTGTGCTTCTTTTTTATGGACGATCTACGAGCTGTGAAAAATCGGTTTAAATTACTATTTTTACCCACGTGGTACCAAATAGGGCCGTGCGCAATCGTGGTCCTATTGTATAGTGTCCTTTTATGATACAAAGGAGTCTTCGTCGAGAAAAGATGTTCCGATAAGGGTGATACTTCTCAATAATATATTATTTCCTTCTAAATAAAGGGGGTCATTACGGGTCAATAAATATTTAAGCAACTCTTACAGGCGCGGATCCAGGAATTTCTTAAGGGGCGACCAACCCATTAAAAAAACAACCCTGAAATTTCATGAAATAAAAAGATAGATTTCTTTTTCAAATGTATTTATCCAAGAAAAAAAAGACAACCACCTCTTCCCTCCTCCCAAAATAATAATAAAATAAAAATATAGAAAAAAACAAAACTCCTTAAAATTAATACATTTCCAAGAAAAAAAAATCGTGGTGTTAATGATGGGGTCTTCGTTTTCGGGATGGGGTGGATGGGTGATTGATGTCAAAGTGATTTTTGATTGATTCAGTATAGTCACTGCAAATTCGGGGGGGGGGAGGTATAGATCTGCTCAAGTCTGAATTTTTAAAAGTATTGATTATTTAATTATTGTGTTGAAAATTATGAGCACGTTGAACATCTTTTTATAAATCAATTTTAAGGAGGCTAGGGGGTCAACAGATTAAAAAATAATACCAACCAGATATAAATATTTTTTTAGACTTGATACCTTTAGCTATCAACTATCA